ACACACACACACACACACACACACACACACACTCACACAGAGAAGTGACTCTAGGTGTTCTCCTCCTCTCTCAAGTACTCCTAATTGGCCACATGCTGAGTAATGTGACCAATGAGTTTCAGGGCCGGCTCTCTTCATTGTATGTGTGTGTTTGTTGGAGTTCATCAGTGCGTTTGACTCTTTGGTGTCTCCTACAGAAGGATCTGGATTGGTTTTACACTCCGGCCGAGGATCTACGGTTCCTCACGTTCTAGATCCTGCTTGAACACCTCAAAAGGTTTCACGCTCTGTCGAAAAACACTGAGGAATCCCTAATAAACCCCAAAGAGAGAAAATTGGTGAGTAAAACTGGTGTGTGTGTGTGTGTGTGTGTGTGTGTGTGTGTGTGTTTTATGCTCTGCACAGAGAAGTGACTCTAGGTGTTCTCCTCCTCTCTCAAGTACTCCTAATTGGCCACATGCTGAGTAATGTGACCAATGAGTTTCAGGGCCGGCTCTCTTCATTGTATGTGTGTGTTTGTTGGAGTTCATCAGTGCGTTTGACTCTTTGGTGTCTCCTACAGAAGTATCTGGATTGGTTTTACACTCCGGCCGAGGATCTACGGTTCCTCACGTTCTAGATCCTGCTTGAACACCTCAAAAGGTTTCACGCTCTGTCGAAAAACACTGAGGAATCCCTAATAAACCCCAAAGAGAGAAAATTGGTGATGAGAACTGGTGTGTGTGTGTGTGTGTGTGTGTGTGTGTGTGTGTGTGTGTGTTTTATGCTCTGTTAGATAAATTATTAGATAAGACTTATAGCTGGAAGAGAAAAATAGAAGATATTTTACCTTGGGTGACCATGACTAATCACAGTCTCAGCAGACAAACTCTACTGAAAGCAATTCAGCATCCAGATCTTCACAGGGCAGTGTGTGTGTGTGTGTGTGTGTGTGTGTGTGAATCCTTGTTTATTCATAAAGGATTTCATGACATCTATTTTTTTCTCTTAAAGGAAAAGTTCACCCCCCAAAAAAATTTGTCATAATTTACTGACCTTAATGCCATTCCAATATGACCTAGAACATTATATTTACCTAGAGCACCAAAGGTGATAAAAAAAAAAAATCCAGGCCAGAAACGAAATGCAATGAGGACCGGGTCTGTCAAACTCCAAAATAATAAAAATAGCACCATAAAATTAGCCCACATGACTCTTGCACTGTATAAAGATTGAAATTTAGGTCTTCCCCTCTGCCAAAGCTCTGAAATGGAAACCAAATGTATGACATTGATGTAATTTGGCACCAAGCATCATTGCTCTTTAGCAAAACACTTTTAAATTATGCTCTATTTCTCACACAAAGCTATCATATGACTATGAATATAGTGTATGAGTAATATAGACTACTTTTATAGTCATTTTATGGTGCTTTTTTAGTCATTTTGGAGCAGATACAGACCCTTTTTTCACAAAAAAGGTGGCAAGAACTCTTAAAAAATATTCTTTTCTATTTCCAAGGTATATTTTAGGGTAACTGTCTTTTATATATCCATATCTCTCTCTATTCTCTTCTCCCTCTTTCCTGACTCTCATCACACACACACACACACACACACACACACTTGAAATAATCATTTACCCATGAGCACAACCTACTCATTTGCACTCTGACACATTGAACTGTGTGCAGTGGAGAATCACTCAGTTTTAATCAGACCAAATCTCTGGTTAAACTCGTAACTAAAATCACCGAAACAAGACACATTTTTTCCATTCTAATTCAGCTTGAAGTTCACACAAGTAAACCATGCACGACATGTGCTAAAGTTCAGATACAGTGCTTACAGTAACTGACAGCACTATCTCAAACTCTCTCTCTCTCTCTCTCTCTCACACACACACACACACACACACACACAGGTCCAGGTTAATCTTATATCCAGGAATCAGCTACTCATTGTTTTGCTATTGTTTCTCATGTGTTGAAGAAAGCATTCACAAGGTGAGGTGTCATTGAGGTAGCTTAATAATTGCAAGATGTCAATCAAAGATATGACTGATGAAAGGGAAAAAATAAATCAAAGAAAATAAAGAACTGCTAAAAAAACGAATCCTGAAATGCAAAGAAAATGACGTTCTTGGCTAGATTTACTCAAACTACATTATTTAATTTTTAAATAATTAAGTAATTTGTACAAAATGAACCTAGACATCACAGCAAACAGAAATGTGCTGACCACGACTTAACATAAATATGTGTAAAATGTCCTGTTTGCTAATATGTATCATAATTCTGTGTAAAATCACATGGTGTCATCTAAAGTATGCCAGAATATTTAATACGATTAGGTGTACTGCAAAAAAAATCAATTTCTTATTCAGTATTTTTGTCTTGTATTCCAGTACAAAGATCTAAACATTCATATATCATATATCATATATCAAGGCATATTTAGATAATAAGTCTAAGAAGTCTGAAAAATGTATCAAAATTAATCAAATTTAGGCCTAAAACAAGAATTAAATATCTGCCAGTGAGGTCAGAAAACATAATCTTGTTTTCCCTTTGGATTAAGTTGATTTTTCTAACCACATTGGCAGATTTTTAAAATTTTTTTATTTATTGTTTTTTTATTTATTGTTTAGACATTTCGCAAGACTCATTATCTTATGTCATTTTGCTTCTCAAGTAATTATGCCTTGATTTAAGAATGTTAAGAATGTCTGAAAAACAAGACAAAATAAATTTTTGCCGTGTATAAAAGAAAAAAAGAATGAAAGAATGAACATTTGCATGCGCATAAAAGCATTTTTTCATACAAACTTAGTTCCATCTGTAAATATGACCAGCGTCACGCCATCAACTGAAAGCCCATCATTCATAAGCTAATGAAACCTCGTATAAAGGCAAGCAACAATATGGTTATGTGGCAATGACTCATGCTCCGTCTGCAAAGGGTTTGTGTAAATGAATGGCATTTATACATATGGAGCCATCGTGTAGCATCAGATGTCCAGAATGTGCTACACTAGATGTAGCGCTGACATTATCAGCTGTTAATCCATGGAACAGGACACATAAAGAGACGTGTGTTTTAATCGCCCTGTGGTCAGATCCGATCACATGAATTACATGCGCCGCAAACACGCACACGGCTATGGTCTCCTGTGATTTATCATGTGATGGATTCCCTCATGAAGTTTAGGTTAAGATAGAACATGTTCATGGTCTTGTCTAATCGAATGTGTACTTCAGGGACCAGGGGTTATATTGGGCCAGAATGATCTGGTGTTAACTCTGATTGAAGAATTAAAAATAATTATGATTATTTTGTCAATCTAATAACATACGCAATAAATGTGTCCTCATTTCTGATAGACATCAACTGACTGTATCAACAACTGGCAGCAACAGTAATTAAATAAATCCATACTTTATTAAAAGTTTTACAATTGGGTTTTGAACCCAGACCAATACATGCATTGTAAGTTTATATATATATGTGACCCTGGACCACAAAACCAGTCATAAGGGTCTTTTTTTTTTAAATTGAGATTTATACATCATCTGAATAAATAAGCTTTCCATTGATATATGGTTTGTTAGGATCGGACAATATTTGGCCGAGATACAACTATTTGAAAATCTGGAATCTGAGGGTGCAAAAAAATCTAAATATTGAGAAAATCGCCTTTAAAGTTGTCCAAATGAAGTTCTTAGCAATGCATATTACTAATCAAAAATTAAGTTTGAATATATTTACAGTAGGACATTTACAAAATATCTCCATGGAACATGATCTTTACTTAATATCCTAATGATTTTTGGCATAAAAGTAAAATCGATCATTTTGACCCATACAATGTATTTTTGGCTATTGCTACAAATATACCCCAGCGACTTAAGACTGCTTTTGTGGTCCAGAGTCGCAAATATGATCTAAGTTTATAAATATTATGATATTTGATGTATTTACGGAATGTATGGAATGAAAATGTATGGAAATATTTTCGAGAACATTATCCTAAAGTTCTGTCTGTTTCATTGTTGTTGTTGTTAATCAAAACTAAAACTGTTTCAATTTTTGGGTAATTTAAATCAAGCTGAAGTAAACAAATATTATATAAAAACTTAAACTTGAAATCTTAAAAATGTAAATGAAAATTATAAATAAATAAAAATAAATTACAAAACTGTGATATAAGTTTAAATGTAAGTACTAAAATTACTACAACTATATATATACTACAATAGTAATATGTACAAAAGTTTGGCCTCATTTAAAAAAGATTTTAAGAAATAATACTTTTATTATACATCTTTGCTTTTATTCAGCAAGGATGTGTTAAATTCATGTTGAAAAGATTTTTATTTCTAATAAGTCCTGTTCTTTTGAACTTTCTATCCATTAAAGTTGTAATGGATACAGTTTCTACAAAAATATGAAGCAGCATAACTGTTCAACATAATAAGAATTGTTCCTTGAGCACCAAATCAGCATATTAAAATGATTTCTAAAAGATCACGTGACACTGAAGGCTTTAAATTGGAAATTTGCCATCGCAGGAATAAATTACATTTTAAAATAGAAAATAGTTTTTTTTTATTTCATTTTTTTTATATCCATCGCAGGAATAAATTACATTTTAAAATACATTCAAATAGATAATAGTTTTTTGTGTGTGTGTGTGTGTTTTTTAAAATATCATGTCATAATATTACTATTTTGGTCAAATATATGTAGCCTTGGTAAGCATAATTATATTTAATCATTTATTTTATTGTTGTTTTTTCCAGTAAATATATATTTATGTAGTAATATGGCAAAATGCATTCAACATTGAAACTATCTTGTCTAAGTTCACCAGAAACACCGCCAAATTATAGGGATTTCCAAACCCGGAAATCCCATTTTAACCTCAGATGGGGATCAAGGTCAGGGCACAATATGCTAGAATTTGTAAAGATTGAAAGCAAACCTCACTCATCTTCAGCCAGCAATTTTCCCCATTAGGAAAACATCCAGAAGTGGAACATTCCCTCTCCTCACCGGGAGAGAAGCCGGAGGGCAAGTTAACATTTGTTAAATGAAAATGTGACACTCTGCTCTTATTTACAGTTTAACCTGAAGTGTTGGCTTCCAAACATCCTCAGGCACTTTCATTTAGTGTGCCTGCATAATATTTACAGACACATTTAACTTGTTATACAAGGGGCTGGTGCATTATTCTTTGTCAGGTTCTCTAGCACACAATCTAATATCATTAAGCAGTGTGACACACTGAAAAACATTGTGCTATTGGACTTCTTTTTTCTTTTTATTATTATTTCAGTGCTTTGCTTTTTAGTGTCAGACTAGGCCTAATTACTCGTAGTCATCTGGTAGAGAGAGAGACCGCGCAAAAAAAAAAAAGAGCGGATTAAACACACATTCCTGCTGTCTTTTCCACACACACACCCCACTGAGAAACATCACCAATTAAGTCACCTGGCAGCCACATCAGTGCAGAAGTACACACACTACACAACATCTCTGCCTTCTCTTCCTCAATAATAACACAGGTGACTAATGTTCATACTGCTGGTTCAAATGTCAAAGGAATAGTTCACCCGAAAATCTGTTGTTGTCATCCTTAATGTACAGTTCCAAACCCAAAGAGAGAAATTTTTTATATTTTGACAGCTGTCAAGTGCCAAAAAAGGATAAAAAAATACACCATAAAAGTAGTTATGGTGTTAATACACAACTTAGGCACTATATTTCAAGTCTATTGTATTAAAGTAATACAATACCTTTTAGTGAGTTTAATATTATTTATATTTACTATCAAAAGATTTAGTAATATTTTAAATAAGCTTTTTCTATATTCGGGTTTTTTTTTTTTGTTATGTGCTTTTGTCATTTAGTTTTTATATATATATTTCTTTATAGGTTTAATTTTTATTTCCATTTTAGTACTTCAACTTAAACGTTTTATAATTTTTAACGTGCTTTTGTCATCATTTTTTAAGCTTTAATTTCAATTAATTAATTTTAATTAGTAATTTTAGTTACTAAAACTTAATATCTAATAATTTATTTCTGTTTGTTGCCTAGGCAACAGTTAAAATTTTCATTTAAGTTTTTGAGGTTTAAATTTTAAGATTATGATTTTCATCTATTATTTATATCATTTTATTTCAGCTTTATTTCAATTAACGAAAATGATTTTTAATGGTTTTAGTTTTAGTTAACAATAACAACACTGGAACAGACAGAAATGTAGTAAGATATTCACAAAAAAAAAAAAAGAAAGAAAACTCCCATCAAACTTCATCCTGTATATTAAATCTAACTTATTGAGAACCAACACCATTTTCTGTTAATTACATCAAATCTGGCACCATTTTTTAGATGGGAACAGATTAGGACAAATTTTGCATTACATTACATCAACAATGGATCCTCTGCAGTGAATGGGTGCCGTCAGAAACTCAAAGTCCAAACAGCTGATAAAAACATCACAATAATGTCTTGTGAAGTGAGAAGCTGCACGTTTGTAAGAAACAAATCCCCCCAAAAAGACTTTTTAACTTTAAACTATAGCTTCTTGTTAAAATACAAAGTCCTCTATCCATTTAAGGGGGTCTGAATACTTTCCGTACCCACTGTATATATATCTGTATGTCTGTATACCTTTCCAGGTGCCATCCGCTTGCCAACTTTCCATCACCATGACAAGCACCACCAGCGACCAAAAGGCCGCCTCCTGCCCACTGATGGCCAAACCTCCCCGTCAGCGGCTGGTCAGTAAGGACGGACGGAGCCTGATGCAAGGCAATGCCCCAGGCTCCAGAGAGACGTGGTTCGGGGCCCTGCGGGACATGTGGGGGACGTGGCTGGCGCTGCGCTGGCGATGGGTGGTGCTGGCGTTCTGCGGCTCCTTCCTGCTTCACTGGCTGCTGTTCGCGGTGTTGTGGTACCTGCTCGCCCGTGTCAACGGAGACCTGGACGTGCCCGACCATGACTCCCCACCAGCCGGCCACGTGCTGTGTGTCAAACACGTGACGGGCTTCACCGCCGCCTTCTCTTTTGCCCTCGAGACGCAGCTGACCATCGGGTATGGCACCATGTACCCCAACGCTGACTGTCCGACCGCCATAGCACTGCTCGCCCTGCAGATGCTGCTGGGACTCATGCTGGAGGCCTTCATCACTGGTACACACCACAGTCTTCTACTTTACTGAAGAAATATGCATGAAGTCTATATAAGAGATATAACTTTCCTTGGAAATGAGGATTTTAAATTAGTTTTTTTTTTTTTTTTTACAGGAATATCCTAGATTCAATACAAGTTAAGTTTAATCGACAAGCACCTGCATTATAAGAAAAAAAAATAAGGCTGCATTAAAAAAGAAAAAAAATTTTATGGTGAGGATTTAAAAGCACAAATGTTAGCTAATAATTATAAAAGCATTTACAATAACTCTTGTTACAATTTATTTATTATTTGTCTTGACGAACCTTCTTTTAAAAAAAAAAATTATTACACAATTAAGCAAATTAAGCAAGTAATAATTTATATTTTTATTAATTTTATTGATTTACTAAATTATTTTATTTGCATTTTTTCTTTTAGTTCCTTTCTAATATTTTTAATTAAAATTTAGCATTTCTATTTTCATTCTATTTCATATATATTTTAAATTCATATTTTAAATGAGTTTTTTATATTTTCAGTTTCAGCTTGATTTTAAAGTTTTAGTAATTTTGTTATGTGCTTTTGTCATTTATATTAGTTTTTTTTTCTTTTTCTTTTTTTACAAATATTTCTATATAGCTTTGATAAATTTATTTTATTTAAAATTTATTTTTATTTAAATTATTATTTTTGCAGTTTTTATTATAATTACTTTTATTCTATTTTCTAAAATACAAATTTTCTGGTTTCATTCAATTTCATTCTATACATTTCAAATTCAAACCTAGCATCTCAAAAAAGAGAAACCTCTACCTCTTCTATTAAAATTTATTATTTGAGCTGTAAATCTGTTTAAATCATCACTTTCACAGCATTTCGGATGTAATACAGACAGGTTAGTAAAAAAAAAACTCATGTTAATACACACACGCACACACCATATGTATAATATATATCAGACATACTGTATATGTATCATGTTTATGTAAAATGTTTACCAACCTTTGTGTACAAAAAAACCTATATACAAGACATTAACTTGTGCTGAACCTAGAATATTCCATTAAAGCCTAAACAGCTACAGTACATGGGTTTTACATTAAGGATGTTAAGCTGCTTTTCAACCAGAAAACATAAGCACATAAATCACACATTTCCATTAATGTTCATATCATCATCATACTGTATATCTATCTGTTGACTATTTCAACACGGTCCCCTGTTTATAGGTAAGCCAAACTGTAACTTAAAGTCTGAAGTCAACATATATTCTGAAAGAATTCGGAAAAAAACAAACATGTTTTTTTTTTCTCCAATTAGTTACCTCAGAAAATCTCACAATGACCTATAGATAAAGACTTCAGATATATGTACAGTCAGTCATGGGACTGAGTTCCCATGCTTTAAGGAGATCACCAGTAAAAGACTCTTTGATGGATATATTTTAAATAAAACTTATCACGAGTACTTTGCCTCTGAACTACAGGGTAAATGTAAACGCATCACAAATCTGGCTTTGTATAGCAGAAAATCCTGGTACTGAAGCCCTCAGAGGAAATGCAAAAGGACCTGTAGATGTCCTGCTAGTGAACAAGAAAATATGTAACAGTATGCACTGAAATCAGGGGTAGGCTACTTGATCCTACTTTAGAGTTTTAGTTTATTAAGCCACCCATAAACACAAATAAAATGTAAATGAACTGACAAATGCTGCCATCTTGGCTCAACTGCAGTTGAGCATACATGTTTTGTGAGCCAATCAGCTGAGCTGCAGATGTCATGTGACTAATCACTCTGCTAGATAACTATCCTGGGCTGCGTTCAGCCCTGACAAAACGGTGCAAAACGTTTTTTTAAACGGAAACGGTGGTGCGTGGAACACTCTGTTCTGATGACGCAAGAGTTGCAACTATGGCTGTCTATCAATGCAAGCAAGTGTCATTTGGTCAGTACTTGTCGTTTGAATATCTAGGGATTGTGTTGAAAGGTGCTCCACGCATTCTGTTTATCATTATTTACAGGCCTCCAAAATACTCTCCAGCGGCGGGCCCCCCTCCAAAATACTCTCCAGAAAGATTAAAGTTCAAGCTCAAAACCTTTCTGGGTTTTGAGCTTGAACTTGCCCCTGTGCTTTGATACCAAAGACAGGGGGAAAGTTCATTTACAGCCATTTATTACTATAATATAATGAAACATTTGTTTACAAAAAATTTATTGGCTGTCAACAGAGAAAAAAAAAAAGTAGTACTTTGAGTGTTTTTGACCAGGACTGGGTAAAAACACAAAATAATGTTCTTTTTAGCAGCATCATATGACCCCTTTAATAATTATGATTGTGAACAAGAAGTTGAATTGTAAAGACAGGAAGTAGAATTCACTGAATCACAATTCAGATAATGGTAACAGATAATTGCATTTTATATATTGTTTATATAAAATAGGTATTTAAAAAAAGATCAAATGACATTTCAAACCAATCTATCTGTCTGTAAAGAATTTTTAAAGACTTTTATTTATTGAATTATTTATTATGCTTTATTTTTTATTTTTTTAATTCCTTAAATTCAGTTTCATCTCTCATTTGTGGCAAGGTTTTTTTTTAAACAAACATACCTTTTTCAAAAATAAATTATTATTATTATTATTATTATTATTATTATATACACATTTTCTATTATTACTATTATTATTATCACCATCATCATAATTTATTTACCTTAATAGTTACATTTATTATTTTGCAGTTTTATTTAGCTTCATTTCATTTCCTTTCCTTTGTCATCCTTTCATCCTATTTTTTCCCATCACTTCTTATGTGCATTTGTGCCAAAGTTTTTCCAGACGAAAAAAAACAAACAAAAAAAAGTATTATTTTCTATTGTTATTATTATCAATATAAATACTTTCTTTATTCAATAATTTATTTTGCAGTTTTATTCACTTTGTTAAATATTATTTCATTCCATTTTTCCCCCCTGTCACTTCTCAGGTGCATTTGTGGCTAAGTTCTCCCGCCCTCAAAAGCGATGCGGTGGGATCCTGTTCAGCCCTCAGGCCGTAGTGTGTGAGGTCAGAGGTCAGCGTTGCTTGATGTTCCGCGTCTGTAACCTGCTTCCAAGGCCGCTGGTGGATGTGTGCGTGAGCGCCGTTCTCTACGAAGAACGTGACGATCACGAACTCTACCAAACCACGATGGAATTCAGCGTCGATAACCTGGGGTCACGACCTTGCCCCCTTTTCCTGTCACCTCTGACCTTTTATCACCCTCTAACTCCATCCAGCCCTCTAAACAATGCACCTAACATCAAACACTTGGAGTTGGTGGTGTTCCTCAACGCTTCTCAGGAGAGCACGGGCTCCGGCTACCACAAGAGGACGTCCTACCTGCCAGACGAGATCCAGTACGGCAGCTGCTTCGCCAAGGTGACGTCTCGGCACGGAAAAGGCCGGAGCAAAGCCGAAAGCATGCTCTATTTTGACATGCAGCCCTGTCCACTCACGCTCCAAAACACACACACCGGCGATGCACTGGAGAAAGAGCACGAGGTGGTCCAGATCAACGGGGAAGACAGTGACCGGGTGGAGTAGCAGTGCTTTATTTTTATGCAAGGGTGTATGATTTCATAAGGATTCTCCGCTCATGAAACGTGCATTTCATTTCACAACACAACCTCCAGTTTATGACTTTTTTATCCCAAAAGACAACCTCAGTTATTTATGGTCTGATATGTCACCCCGTCCTGTTAGAAACCCATCAAAAACATTTTTTGCTGCTATGGACACACTTGCGTTTTCCAGAGCAACACAGATGAGTGACAGCTGCTTAAGATCTTGTTTTCATATGGCAATAAGAGGAATCTCCAATGTTTTATGATTGTAACTGACCATCTTCACCCGGAATCCACTGACACCACAAAACCAAGTTTGAGCCCTTATTTATTCGGCGCCTGGACATTGTCACTGCGTTACCTGTCTGTATCTGAGTCAAGGGCTTGTTTTCAAAATATAAATTATTAAAGTGCTGCACACAGTGCTGGGTAGATTACTTACAAATTGTAATCCGTTACTGATTACAAATTACATGATGGAAATGATAGTGTGCAACATAAACTATTGGATTACGCATATTAGGTAATGCATTCGGACTACTTTTTGATTACTTTTAGATTACTTTTGACTTAAAATATATTCCATTCATGAAGTGTATTAAACATTACATTATGCCAGGGATTCATGAATGAACTACAGGGGGTTTGTGAATTGATGAAAAGCTGGAAGACTTTCTAAATGCATGAAAGCAGTAGAATTTTAGAAATGAAAATTTAAGAAAGAGAGAGAAGAAGAAGAAGAAACATAGCAATCAAATTATGAATAATTTACTGCTAATAATATGTAATAATGTTATCTATAAAAAAAGTAACTGTAATTTGATTATGAGCATTTTAAAAGGTAACATTCTAATTACAAGTACTTAAATTTTGTAATCTGATTACATAATCCAGATTACATTACAATCAGTTACCCAGCACTGGCTACACAGACAACGGTCATCCTTGTCCATAAAGAATTTTTATCAAAATGCATGAATGTTAGGGATAGTTCAACCAAAAATGAAAACTCTGTCATCATGCACCTGTCATCGTCTCATATCCACATAAGGTGGATGTTCATTTATTAATATAGAGTGTTGCAGTGATGACCCGGAAGTTCACATCACCAACAAAAACTCAATAGCATTCTTCCACAATTTTTTGGATTATTATTAAGTATGGTGGCCAACAAAAGTTTATTATTCTTACACATAAAAAGTAAAACGCTAAACATGGGCTATAAATAAAAACTACACCATGGTTGCATAACTTTAATGTCACCACCATTAAAGGGGTCATAGGATGCCCATTTTCCACAAGTTGATATGATTCTTTAAGGTCTTAATGAAAGGTCTGTGACATAGTTTGGTTAAAATTTCTCAATGGTAGTGTAAAAAACACCTTTTTTACCCTGTCAAAAACAGCTCTTTTCAGATCAAGCCGTTTTTGTAGCATTTTCCTTTAAATGTTAATGAGCTCTGCTGACCCCGCCCCTCTCTTTCGAGCTGCTCTCAGAAAGACTGTTTACTTTAGCCGCATTCATCGTGAAACTTGCTAATTAGCACATTAAGGCGATTTGCAAAGATTCATTACAAAACATTATACTCACTTCTTCTGAAGATGAGGCTGGATCACGAATGATTCGCGCGAACATAGACGCATTTATGTAGATCGGGGGCGCATTCCCTTCAGAAACAAGCATAATCCACTGCATCTTCAGTGGCTCAGATGTCGGGAGTAAATGACGACTGCTATGTTCATTATTACATCCAACAACAGAACACCTCAATCGCTTAGGAGTCATTATTGTCTACATCTGCTCCGGCGGTGAAACAATGGCGGACTGATGACAGCTCACGCATCTGAGATCGGCTCGATTTGAGAAAGGGGAAAACATTTAACGAGATAAAAAAAAAACACTGGGTGGATTTTAATCATTATAGGGTGGTTGTGTACACACACTGCCAACACACATTTCAGTTCAAACAACTTGTAAAAGTGCATGTAGCATCCTATGGCCCCTTTAAGCTTACAACAACTCTTTCAGTGTTTATTTATAACATTTTCCCTGAAATTCTGAGTTAGAATAGCTTGCAAGAGCGTGATTATAAACACAAAGAGGCTGTAAAAGCAGACTAGAAGTGAGAAGATGAGTTTATCTGTTCTGGACGATAGTGTTTAATGTCCCGATCAGCCTCTGTAGTCCCATTTAGACACTTGTTAGCGACCTCCTTTTTGAAAACAAGTAAAAGGAGTAGTACTGAAGGATTTTTATATTGTAGAGTAAAATATCTTGAGCTTGTGTTAACCACAGACCTAAAATTCAGCCATTTAACCAAAAACCCATTCAAAAAACCCATTGACTTCAGAAACCAGAAGTGCTCAAATGCTTGTTTCTGGGTTTTGGCCCAAAAAAATATGTCATCTCTGCAACACTCTTATTATTATTTAATATTCAATGAAAAAATTGACTTTTGTCGTATTTGGTTGAACTATACCTTTAAAGTGTTCATTAACACCCCTATTAAGTGCCTACTGATAAACTTTTCTTTTTCATGAAAAGTCATGAAATGGACTTTTGGATGGAGAGATCGAATATTGAACTGAACATTAACAGTGATGTAAATAATAAAGTATATAGATAAATAAATAGATTATTTACTAGATTCTTTTTGGGAAAGAAAATCTCAGTATTATCAGTGCAATGCAATCTATGCAATAAAACAAATAAAAAATTAGCACAATCCTATACTGGTGGCACAACACTGTATGATTTTTTCTCTGTAGGTGATTATATATAGCACATGTATTGTCTGTTTGTCAATCAGGAAAGACTGATTGCTTTCACTTTATTATTATATGTATAAAGCATGATTGTTAAACTCGGGAAGGCTGGAAAAAATTGTAGTAATTCAGTTTCCTGCAAACAGGCCACCAATCAATTGTTTTTCAAGCTACACTGACTGGAAACTGATGTGGAAAAGAAATGTCTTTATTTTGATATGTGGAAAACTAGACTGGATTAAAATATCTGTGAAAATGTTGTGGTTGTGTTTTTTTTTTTAATCCTTACAGAACATTTTATGCATTTTATACATCATTAGCAGTAATTCTTATACAGTTAAACAAAATTTATGTCAGCAACACACTTTATAGTGCATGTTTTGTTGACCAAGTCCTGTGCTGCCACCTACAGGCACTTCAGAGAAAATAAATGCCACCGATATAACAACAATTATTACATTTTGCACATATGGAATAAAACGAAGCCGCTATTTAACAGAAATAAATATATAAATGATAATTCAAAATATTAATAAACAAAATAATAGTATATAAATAACACTAAAAAAAACACTTGCCATATAGGGTCTATAATAGTATATAGTAGGGTTGATGATCAGAATTGCAAAAGCTGAATATAATATAATATAATATAATATAATATAAAAT